CACCCAACTGGAAACATTGTGGAAATACAGCCTTGTTTTTGATTGTGTTAGACGGAGCTGAAGCTTGAGATTGGTACAACATGTGAACAAAGCCTAAGGGGAAGTTTTGTTTCATGACCCCCCCCCACCTCCTCACCCCCTCACCCTCTTCCTCCCCTCCTCCACTGTAGGTATCCCTCTGTAGGCTTGGACTGAGCAGATTGTTCTGACAGGAAACGGACAACAAACGGAGGAGGTGAACATGGCGGGGGCCTCCAGCTTCTTTTCCAACGGCCCAGTTACGTGGATGGACAACGACACAGAAATGAACAACCTGTACCGAGACCTGGAGGTGGGCACGGTGCTGACGCTCTTTTATTCCAAGAAGTCTCAGCGGCCAGAGAGACGGACGTTTCAAGTCAAGCTGGAGACCAGGACCATCATCTGGACTCGGGGCACAGACAAAATAGAAGGAGAAAGTAAGTCGGAAAAAAAAAGACAACGGTGACATCTGTTGGTCAGTCTGTGGAGAACAAGGCTGTAGTTCAGAAGGCGTCCAGAGAAGACGGTCATGTGACATCATCTTTGTTGACACCTTGTTGGTCCACTGGTTGGACGGTGATAGTTCAGAGGTTAATATGAAGCAGAAATCTCAAACATTTCCAGTCAATAATTCTTGGCAGATAAAATGTCTTTAAACGTTCGAATCTACGAACTGGACCAACAGTCAGAAATGTTGACAATCAAAATGGACACCACAGGCATCAACACACACACACACACACACACACACACACACTAGTGTGTAGATAGTGTTAGCGGTTGACAGTGTTAGCGGTTGACAGTGTTAGCGGTTGATAGTAAAGCAAAATACTTTATGGCCAAAAATGTGACTTTTACTTCTTTATTGAACTATTATCTCCGGGGCTGTACAGGGACAGGTAGATGATCAGTTTGACTGACACACACACACACACACACACACACTCAGCATCAGTAACAGCAGATATACAGTGTGTGTGTGGGACAGGAAGTGCTGGTGTGTGAGACAGGAAACCTCCTCTCTTCCTGCTGTGACATCTCTTTTTTCCTGCTTGTTTCTGAGGAAACTTCCAGAATGACTGACAGAACAGACTGACTCTGAGTGAAGTCAACAGACGTCCACAGTCTGTATATGTCAGAGAAGAAGAAGCAGTACATGGTAGTACACAACAACAGCTCAGGATGTAGGGTTAGGGACAGGAAGAGGGCTGTGTGTGTGTGTGTGTGTGTGTCTCATTTTGTTGCTAATGAAAATGGAGACTTTTCTGGTGACAGTACTGAACAGTACTCAGTACTACACTCGGTGCAGCTTCTTGTTCTGTCCTCTGGTCCTGAACACTCTGTCCTCCCGTCTCCGTCTCCACAGTTGACATTCGAGAGATCAAGGAGATCCGACCTGGACAGAAATCCCGGGACTTTGAGCGCTACCTAGAGGACTCGGCGGCGCGGCTGGACCAGGGTCACTGCTTTGTCATTCTGTACGGCACCGAGTTCCGACTGAAATCCCTGAGCCTGGCAGGTAACGCCGTGGGACACACAGTGTCCATCAGACAGATGGGTTTGGGTTCGGGCTGAGGGCTGTGGAACTGCAGTAGAACTGCAGTAGAACTGTAACTGGACCAGAGTGGACCGCTCCTCCCTCTGCTCTCTGACCATTCACTCTTTTTTACTTTGACTAAAGTCATCGGTCAAGAAGTGTTGGTGGTCAGGACTGAATCTGCTGACTTTTCAAAATAAAACGCTCTCCTACTAATGATCAGTAAAATCAGTGTCAGTGTCTGTGTCTGTCAGCATCTGTGTCAGTGTCAGCATCAGTGTCAGTGTCAGTGTCAGTGTCTGTCAGCATCTGTGTCAGTGTCAGCATCAGTGTCAGTGTCAGTGTCAGTGTCTGTCAGCATCTGTGTCAGTGTCAGCATCAGTGTCAGTGTCAGTGTCTGTGTCTGTGTCAGTGTCAGTGTCAGCGTCTGTGTCAGTGTCAGCATCAGTGTCAGTGTC